GCTAACGCTACAACTACTACTACGCAGCGCTCCCTCCAGAGTGCTGCTCCCGAAACCTGAAGACTACAACTGCCGACTGCCTACCTCGGAAGTGCTTGGGAAGTCCTATGTACTACCTCGGCCTGCCTCCTGACTACTGGAGGCCAGTCAGGCCGAGAAGGCAGCTCTTGCCAATGCCGAAGTGTGCCAGGGGCTGGCGTGCAGCAGCCTGCTTGAGGCTGGCGTGGGAAACAGACTATTAATAGTCTGTTCCCGAAACCCTGGTTCGGTGCCTGAGTTTCAGGGCCGGTCGTTCTGATGAACGACCGAAAATGGCCCTTCGTTTCAGGCTAAAAATGCTGTTGCCATTTTTAGTCTGAAACGACACAGGGACAGGCCCTGGAATTCAGGCTTTCGGCCTGAACCGACAGGGGGCCTGTAAGCCTTGGATTTCAGGCTTTCGGCCTGAAATTCAGGCTCTCGGCCTGAAGTTCAGGCTTTTAGCCTGAACGGACGCAGGCCTGCAAAATAGCCTGCGTGTGCACGCGCAGCATGTAACAAAAACCACAACGCCCCACGGCCAACATATGGGCCAAGTACTGGTGGTTTAAGATCTTTAGTCTGCTCACTTAAGATCTCGATTCTGCTGAGTACAGACTAAGTCTGCTGAGTCTGCTCAGTATAAAGTATTCTATTTTTTCTCTGCTGCTCTGCAGAGTCTGGAGTCTATTGAGTGTAGGTACAGATGAACTCAAGATCTTGAGTCTGCGAAGGACAAAGAGTGTGCTAGGGTGTGGATGACCTCAGCAACTCAAATTTTAAGTCTGCTGAGTAGAAATCAACGCAAGATCTTCAGTCTACTGACTACAGACTAAGTCTGCTGAGTAGAAATCAACCCAAGATCTTCAGTCTGCTGAGTACAGAGTAAGTCTGCTGAGAACTCAATTGCTCAGATCTCAATCTCTTGGGTCTGCCAAGTACAGACTAAGTCTGCTGAGTGTCGATGAACTCCATAACCCTGGAGTCTCCTAAGTTCTTCTAATACTTGAGCCCACCAGGCTCTTTCGATATCCTGCCCACATGATAGTCTGGTCATTTCTCTTTCTACTGCGTAGACTATAGATCTGCTATATGAGTTGTCGAGTCCCCTCTGAGTTCGCAGTTTCCCTCTCCTGTGTCTGCAATCCCTGACCGCTCCCTTCTAGCGTCTGGTGCGTAGACGCCGTAGAGCTCCCGAGTCCTTGGTCTGTCACTTGAGTCTGTGGTCTGTAGCTCTAGACTGCTGTGCAGTCCATTTGTGTCCTACCGTCTTCATCTGAATAGAACGCCCGGTAATTATCACCGTATCTGGGCTGAAAGTTGTGCCAAATACAGCTACAATGACTGGGCGTTATATTCGGGCGAAGACGGTAGTAGCTGCTGCTGTGTGCATCTGGAAACTGCCACTTACGCCTTTGTTTTCCTGTTGAAGCTTGATTATGTCTTCTACCCTCTTGGGTGAATTGGTGGAAAGCGCCCACGCAGAAACCTGTTTGGTTTCCGGCACCCAAAGTTCGGTCGTATGGTACTACCGGCCCCATGTTGGCTTGTTTTCATGAGACAATGAGTCTGGCGCTTTTTTTATGAACTGGTAGGGCCACTCGTTTTCAAGATACCGTACGTGGGCCTCGTTCTATCCATTAGGTGTACCACCAACGGCCCCTTTTACATGACTCAGAGAATGAATCTGGCATGCGATAACCCATGCCAGATGTCTCGTGGAAGCTGAGGGTCATCCGAGGGCCTACTTGGCTGCCCTCAGCCCAGGCCGAAACAAGAGAAAAGACCCCACACGAATTCAGGGCCTGGGCGTGTGACAGTTGACTGTCAGTCCACCCAACAGTCGAAGTCCAAAGGTACCTAGCCCAGGCCGTTGGTCAAGCACACGCAATTGTTTGTATGCAGGTACCCAGAGTCCCAGACCGCATCAGGTCCAAGGGAGAAGTCTGCAACTGTACCATCCGGGCCTTCAGATGTGAGTCAATCTGGACGACTGAGGGAAAAGCACCGAGGCCAGACAGCTCCGACATGTGCTCCTTAAGGCTGGCCTCGAGTGAGTCAAAGCATTCAGTCTTGCTATGCTGTTTTGACGCTGGTGCTGGCATTATGCTGGTTCAACGCTGGCTATGCGCAGGCGTTGCGGACGACTGCACAAGGTGGAGGCAGCATGCTGGCACTTCTTCTGTGCACCAGGCAGTGCTGATGTGGTGCTGCCTCTGGTCTTCAAGGCATGCTGATGTGGCACTGCCTCTGGTTTACATGCTGATGTGGCGCTGTTACTGGTCTGCATTGCATGCTGATGTGGCACTACCTCTGGTCTACATTGCATGCTGACGTAGCACTACCTCTGGTCTACATTGCATGCTGACATGGCGCTACCTCTGGTACATTGCATGCTGACGTGGCGCTACCTCTGGTCTACATTGCATGTTGACGTGGTGGCGCGCTACCTCTGGTCTACATTACGTGCTGACGTGGTGCTACCTTTGGTCTACATTGCATGTTGATATGGCGCTACCTCTAGTCTACGTTGCATGCTGATGAGGCGCTACCTCTGGTCTGCATTGATGATGTTGCATATGCCACCTATCTCGACTGCTGACGTGGCACTGTCCACGCTGTCTACATGAGGTGACTGGTTGCATGGAGGAGGATGATCAGGATCTGTGGTTGAAGGAGGTCAGGTACTCACCTGAGGTTGACGTCGTCATTGGAATCTGCTGTCTTCATGGTCTCACAAGCTGAAGGAGGTCAGGCACTATTGTGTGTGATCAGGAATATACGTATTATCATTGTTGACGTGGAGAGGGAAGAAGCCCAGAGGAGAAGAGGGGTCTGAAGGGATTATTACTGCGTGAACACTCTTCTTCTCCTTTGTCTATTCTCCCTCTTCTCTCTTCTTGTGATGGTAATGAGATACTGTTTGAGATATCACTTCACAATCTGGCGACTTTGATGGAGATAATGAGACTACTGATGTGTTGACGACTTCTGAGTATCTGCCAGACTGGGTTCATTAAAGGCACATAAACGGTGCCAAATTCATGATCCGATAGGGCCCTTGGAGGCTGGAGCAACACGTAGGCCCTTAATAATACCCCACAAGGAGAGGTTTGGGCATGTAACTTCAGGCACCCAAAACCAAAAAGGTTTTGGCGTCAGCGCTTTCCATAATTTATCTCTACCCTCTTCCCCCATACAGAATGCAGTATGGTCATTACAGGAGGATTTGGATCACCTTTTAGTACCGATGCAGCAGAAATGCCCATTCTATTCGGCGGAAGAAGGTCGGCTCTTGTTTGGATCACTCAGCAGTTTGAATCTGGTGAGCCTACGTCACCCGAATAGGAGAGACACCAGAGTAATCGATAAGAGCAAATCCCTTTGGTCACAAATCGATTCTATTGAATTCATGACCCATGTTTTCCATCCATGCGTCGCTGTCAGATCAGTTAAACTTTCCCTTGGGTAATTTTAGTTCTTCGGAATCACAGTCCTTTTAAACTACTATACCGATCCCGCTCACTGCAATGAACCTCCCAGTTCAACACTAGTGAACGCACATATTCACACCACAAACATGTACGAGTTCACACGGAATTGACACTGGAGACCAGAGAGATGAAGACCAGGTAGCGCAGCTTTTAGAAGGCGTGATGACGCTAGAGTCTGCTGCTAGACCAGTGAGCTATTACGCTTTCTTCAAAGGATGGCTGCTTCCAAGCCCACCTCCTGGTTGTAATTGCTCGATCACTTACTTTCCCACTAAGTGATTGCTTTAGGACCTTAGCGTACGATCTGGGCTGTTTCCCTTTTGACTTTGGATTTTAGCACCCAAAGTCTGTCTGTGCAATGCTCAGTTGCAAGTATTCGGAGGTTCCTTGGGGTTGGTCAAGCTTTGGGCCACCCTAACCCATCGAGTGCTCTACCTCTTGCAATGAAGATCACACGTTCTACCTCAATAGATTTCGCAGAAAACCAGCTATCTCCGAATATTCCAATGAGTTACGCAAGACAAGAGCACGTTCCAAGTCACCAGCGCTCATCAGCACTTGTCAAAGGTAACCAATACCCAGCACAACTCTCTCAGGTAAGATTCTCTTATCCCACTGCTCTTCACCCTCTTGTATCTCCGCTCCTTGAATCTTCTCTCTAGCTATGTCCTCGCTGAGTCTTCTCTCACTACATGCATACACACTCACTATCTATCAATAATCACTTCATGGATCTACTCTGAATACAACCACTGTCAACCCTACTAACTCTCTGAAGACTACTACTAGATACTAACACTAACACATATCCCACTGCTCTTCACCCTCTTGTATCTCCGCTCCTTGTTAGTCTTCTCTCTAGCTATGTCCTCACTATCTTCTCTCACTACATGCATACACACTCACTATCTATCAATAATCACTTCATGGATCTACTCTGAATACACCCACTGTCAACCCTACGAACTCTCTGAAGACTACTACTAGATACTAACACTAACACCCTGCACTGGCGCAGCTGCTATGGCTGCCTTCCCTCTGCTAGCGCTATCTTCCTCTCTCTCCCTCACTTAGCACAGCACTCTGGCCTCAGCGCTCTGCCCTTCAGATTAGCGCACAAGTGCACCAGCACTTCCACTCTTTGCGAATGAGCAATCTGCCCCAATGTGAGGCTGTCCAGTCCTTTTGTAGTCTTGGTTTGTACTTCAACTCGTGCCAGCCTCAGTTTCTTGGCTCCTGTCTGGTTCCGGTACCACATCCCCACGGCCTGTCTGCTACTGAATGTCAAGGCCTGGAGGCTGGAACCTTCCCGAATTTCCATTGGATGATTAGACTGTTGCTGCTTGGGCCCCTTGAGTCACGACTTTTCACTTATGAACATGACTTCTGACTGTGGATAGTGTCTCTTGCCTGTGGGTCCCGACTTTTGCCTGCGATACTACGTTTTACTCGTGGGATGTGTCTCTTCAATATGACTTTTCATTAGGAAACGTGACTCCTGTCTTGAGACATGACTCTTACTTGTAAGTCTGCCTTTTCACTCGTGGAATGTGACTCTTCTGAATCGCAAATGTACTCTTTCAGTGCCCATTTGTCAGCAGCCTCGGAGACCGCAGGGCAAGGGATTTTGTGGTCACCTCTGGAGGTGACCGCAAATTCCCTTTTTTCTTTTTCTTCATTTTCTTCAGAACTTGGCAAAAATTTGTTCACGGAAGTTCTTGCACAATTGGTGGATCGCACCCTGTGACCAGAAAAGTACCAAATCCCCATTTCTCCAGCCGGCCGCGACCTTTTCTCTGAAAAGGCACAGCAGTGTGACGTGAACCATGCCCAAAACCTCAAACCGGCCCTTTCCCAAATCCGCATATTTTGCGGATTTGGGGTCGCCGTGTGAGTATGCCCTGAGACGTGACTGTTTGCTGGGTACCTATTGGTCCAGAGTGCTAAGGTACCCGATTGTGACTTTTCTGAGTTTGACGAGTTCGGCTTTTTTTTGGCCTGGGCATCGGACCCTGAGATCTGAATTTGGGGTCTGAAACGTGGAAGGCCTTTCATCACTGCCTCTTAAAAACTGCCACTGGTTTCGTTGCAGCTCTATCGATTTCCCGTAGTTTGCCAGCAAAAATAAAAATACCGCGTTTTGCCCAGTTTCACAGCGAAGGACCCCTAGGCCCCTGGCCTCAGATTCTCAGCGGTTTTTTTTTTTTTTTTTTTTTTTTTTTTTTTTTTTTTTTGTGTGGGGGTATGGCCTAACCAGATCCATCCGTTACCATGAGGTACATTTACGGACGTATCTTTTCGACGTTAGTGTCCGATACACTAGTACTTCCATTGGTTTCGACAGTGGTGTGGCAAGGCAATCCGTATACAACACACGAACGAGGTGTCCTCAGCGTCTTGCAAGTAGTCTGCGATATTCAACAACAACAATTTTCTTCAAAGATGCACATAAACTCCAAAAACGACGTCCCGTTTTGCATTACCAGACTACGGCCCGTGGAAGTGTTCACATATAGGCAATACGCAAAGGTGGCGCTCTCTGCTTCGTACGTTTAAGGCAGAATTTGAGGGAAATTCACCACAATTTTTCAAAAACTTTAGGTTCCATACCACCAAAAAACAAAAGACATGTTATCTCGCAATAGTTCCCAAAACGGCTGCGCGTTAATGAAGTCGACATCAAAACCAACCAAACTCTCATTAGCAAACGCGCGTCACGAGCACGGATGAAGTCAACATCAAAACCAACCCAACTCTCATTAGCAAACGCGTGACGAAGACGGCTTCATATGATCACAAAATTCTGCACAATGCACAAATTCCTACGACCCCCTTCCAACCACAAATATTGCAGACCTTCTCGCTCTTTCCTTCAACCCACCTTCTCGTTTTTGTCTTCTAAAGACAAGTCAACAGAAACGACCCTCCAAAAGACTGTCAACCAGTGGCATAGTCCACCTCAACTCGCGAGCTTACTGTGTGTCAGTGTGTAAGTTCTCCTACGAAGAACACCACACAACAAAATTGCTCACGGCCTTGCGCGTCAAAATTCTTCACAGCAAAAGTACATCTCCAGCGTGAATGTTCCAGTCCCATCGAAATGCCTTGCTCTTCAGCGCCCGCCCACAACGAACAGGAGGGCAAAAGTTCTTGAAACTAGGGTGGAACGATACCAACCCCCCATCAGAATCGATCAAAACCCCGTGAAGTACCTGCAAGGACAACGCTCCACTGCTACGTTCCAATACAAAACGCAACGACGGGCTCCTCCTCCATTTCCAAAAGTCCAAACAAGAGACACTAGAAGGTACAACAAAACCTAATGTACAAACGAGTCAAACCCACAACGAAGTCGCCACCCAATTCTGACTTCGTCAACCACTCGCTGCACTCCACTGGACGGGAGAGCGTGGCGACGGCGGTCTATTCTCTTGACCTAATGCAATTATCACCCAACCCCTAACGGCGGGACACATATTCTACAATCTTTACCTAGCGCAACTTTCTTTTCTATTTTATTTTTTTACCGCATTTTTTTTTCTTTTTTCTTGAGCGCAATCATCACCTAACCCCTTTAGCAATTGTATCCTAAACCGTAAACCGTTGAATAGGTGTCGCCTTATCGTTTTCACTAGCCGTTGATTGACCATCATTTTACGCTTGGGTGAGCGTTTCAACATACACTTAATTGCTGACCGTGGACTTACCACCAGCTTACCGCTCACCTACACAAGTCAGCGTTGACTGCTCATCACTGTACGAGAGGAGATGCATCCCGAAAGCCGCCACACTTCCCACTTTCCAACAAGTTGAATGATCATCACCTTACAATTTCCTCATCATTCCCGAGAGTCAATTCTGTTATCGTCAACATATATACGACAGGATGGACACCAGTGGCGAAGCCGGCCCACTAATATCATTTTCACACAGCATTCTGTAGCGCACTACAGTACCAAGAAGGGTCTGTCGTAATATGGAGCGCTCTCTGCCCTCGTAGAGAGAGAGAGAGAGAGAGAGAGAGAGAGAGAGAGAGAGAGAGAGAGAGAGAGAGGCGCATTTGGGAGAAGAACATCGACATCATTGAACCGGTGTTCAGACTTTGCTCAGCCTTGAGAGCCGGTCTGTGGACCGCTTCCTCCCATTCCGACTTTCTCCTTCACTGACTCCATAGCTGCAGCTGCTCTCTCTTTCAAACCCTCCATTGCCCCTGCGGCTTTTTGCTTCGACTCTTCCATGGATTCGGCTGCTCGCTGTCGCTGTTCCTCCATAGCCTCCTTAGCCTCCTGCAACTTCTGACCGGCCGCCTCCTTGGCCGCCTCATACTTGTGCTGGGCTGCCTGCTTGGTGTCCTCCGTCTTCGCAGACGCAACGTCCTTCGCTCTCTCGTACTTTTCCCGTGCCGCCTGCTTTGCTTCTTCCACTTTCTGCCCAGTGGTCTGCTTTGTCTCCTCGTACGTGTCCTGTCCAGCCTCCTTCAGCAGTTCCGACCCAGCGCGTGCCTTTTCCTGAGCCATCTCGCCTTCTTTGTCGCCGAAAATGACACTTTCACTTACGAATTCCACGTGGCACTTCCTTCGATCTCGAATCCTCTTTGTCAACGGATATGGAAGTCGATCCCCGCAGTTCCCGCGAGCGCCGACCGCCGCACTTCCCGCCCTCCGCACCTCCCGCCAACTCGAACACCGACCACAACCCAAGAATCCCGCCAAAACGAAGAAGAATTCTTCAACAGATGAAGCAGCTGAGAAAGACAGCAGATCAAGAAGTAACAAGAACCGAACCCTCGACAGCTCCCTCGTATATCCTCCCTCCCTGCCTCCAATCCCCTCCCCTACTCTCTGCCCCTCCTCTGCCCCTCAAATCATAGACGCGGCGGCGACTAGCAAGCAGCACAGTCTATGACAACGATAAATCCCTGTCCAGTTCGTATGCAAATAGACACAGCATGCTCTCCCACCACTGTCGGAACAGCAATATGCCAAACGTTCCAGCCAAAACCCCACAAACAGAAACCGCATGCCTCGCGTTCCCGCAAAAAACGACACAAATGGAAACCGCAAATCAACCTCCCGACCGCCAACAGGTTTTCCAGCACCTTACAGGTTCACGACACGAGTCTGCCCTACAAGCTGACTACGACGGGTTTTATGCAAAATGCAAAACTGCGCGGGACGCACGCACGCCTCGCCTAGACGAAGATCTTAGAGTCTTAGAGACAGTTGTGCTGTCGTAGCATTATCGCGTGTGAAAGGGTCTTCTCGGTTTTTTCCCCCTTTGATTTCCCACACTTGACGGAGCCATACAGTAGTTCTCCCCTCTGCGCTTTACTTTACTCTTCTTAGCAGAGGGACGAACCTGGCCATTTTCTGCCCGAAGATGCAGTCGCCCTTTGTTTCTTTCTTTTGAAGGGCTATGTCCCTGGAACATCATGCGACTGATACCATGGGGGGCGTGGGGGCGCAGCCAGGACGGCAGGGGCATCGCCGAGCGCACATTTTCCACACAAACCAGTCCCACCGTTCAGACGGAGACGGCGACGGTCCGATTTGTTAAACCCCCAGTACTCGGCCCAGCTATAGCCCGTGGGAAAAAACAGAGTAGAAAAGATTATTTTCTAGTGGGATGAATTTGGGCGTTCCCGTAGCGGGCACGACGGTTTAACGAAAAGCACTCTTGCTTCATTGACATTTTACCCGAATGGAAAACACCAGATGTTGGTCACGTAATTCCTGAAAATACTCAAAGCAAGTGAATGGTTTGGGGCGATGTACAAGAGCTAAGCATGTACGGCAGAAGCGATGTTTGGGGCTCTTTTGGAGAAAAAAAAACAGATAAAAAATAATAGGTGAAAAGCGGGCCAGCTATATGCCAGGGAGCATTTGAAATATCGTGACCTTGCATTGATTTGCTCTGACTGTATAGCAGAAAGCATGTTCTGTTTGTTATCGAAGCAGACACATTTGTGGAGGGGGAGGGCTCGCCTCCTCCTGTCCACACTTCTCCCCCGTGATGTTTTTTTTTTTTTTTGGG